TCCTTCACAGCCCACTTCTCCTTCGGCACCTGCAGACCTCCTTGCACAAGATGTTCAGGCAGCGTTTCCGCACGGCTCACAGGCAGAATGAATCCATGACTGGACGCTGCCTCTTGATTTATACTTCGGTTGGTCGCTGGTCTGTCCCTTTCCTCCGGGCCCAGGGTGCACACAGTCCCACATGGTTCTTGCTGACTGGACAAAGTGCGACTGGGACTGGGTACCGCTGACTAGGCGAGGTTGGACTGCCCACTTGCCCGCTTGCCTCTAGCCTAACCTAAGCAATTCTGGAAAGGTCACTTCCACGAAAGTCTGTAGACATTTCAGGACTGTAGCAGCTGCAACCTTCACCTTTCAGGACTGTAGCAGCTACGACCTTGACCTTTCAGGACCGTGTTAGCTACGACCCCTACTTGACAGTCCTACGGTTCAAGACCCGACGACCACACTAACCTGCGACAGGCAACAGACGACTACCAAGACACAGGTCACGGGTTCAAATACACATGGGTCGACTTGGTACTGTACACGGGTGAGGGCAAGGTCTCTAGGGATCGAGCCCTGGGATCTACGTCTGCTACTGCAAAGGTGGAAACAGTTTCAAAGCTCTGTGTGGGGTGGATAATATCTGTACTATCTGGTAGCATCTTCTCATTCGGTTGGCGAGGGCTCACCACCATTTGTAAACCACCGTCAAGAGTGTAATTCGGCGGTAGTTAGAAATGTTCGTTTTCTCCCCTTTCTTATATGGGAGGGTCAAGACCCCTTGGCCAACCATTTCCATCATCCGCCCCGTATCCCAGACCGCCCTATAGAAACTCATCAGATCCTGTGAGAGCATGGCTCAGAGGCATTCTTAATACTCCTTTGGCAACTCGTCGATATCCGGGGTCTTTTCCTCCTCCGTCTGTAACAATGCCACCCAGACCCCCTCTGTCTCAAGTGGCTTCTCCAACTCAATAGGCTGTTCCTCAGTCAGCATTTTCCTCAGTGGGGAGAGGAAGGCCGTGATCTCCTCCCCCCGCTTCTCCTTTCCCTGTGGGTTGCAATGGGATGTGAAGAGGTCTTGGTAAAAATCCCATGCAATCTTTACACACGGAGGGGTTGAGGTGGCCAGGGACTCCCCCTGTGCCCTGGCCAGTGCAAAAGAGCTGCTGTCCATTGCCCCTTCCATGAGAAACTTGGGCATTTTGCCCCTGGACCTTGCCCCTCTCCATCTGTGCTTTCTCCAACAGTTGGTCTTATATTTTTTGGATGGATGTTGCTACATCTTTGGTGAGATCAACCTGTGACTGGTTTCTGTTCTTTGTCGACTGTTCGTGTGGTTTTGATTGCAGTTGTGATTGTTGTTCCTGTTGTTGCTGTTCCTGTAGTAATTTTGGAAGTTGTTCTTGGAGTTCAATTTCCTGGTCGTACCTCTTTGCTGCGACTAGTTTTGAGAATTCAGTGCATTTTGAGCCAATTAGATCAAACCATTGTTGAACCACGTAACGGTATCCCCTATGGCTACTTTATGAGTTCGCCAATATGCCCGTGTACCTGTAATGTGCTGTTGATAATTATCGCTTACAAGAAGCACAGTGTTAAGCTTAAAAAATCCAGGCCCCTGATCCGTTTTTTTCTGGAAGGAGAACATGGCTGCGCACGTGGCATGATTGAGGCCTGAGTATGGGCTGAGCGGGACGCCAGAATAAGGTCATAGACGGGGCCAGAATAAGGTCAATACGGGATCTGGACTGCCTATCCGTTCCATTATTTGGGAAACACATGAAGGTCTTCTTTGCAGGATGCAACCGCTGGTAGGTATCATGCTAATCTATCTTCTCTGTATTTTATCTTCTTTTTTTTTTTTTAATTCAGGGCGACGACCTTAAGATATTATCTTTGGACGTACTGGACTCAGGTAATTCAGGAGTTCTCTGATCTCATCTGGATGTGAACTTGGGTCTTTATTTCAACAGTTCATGGATGTACCAAGGTAGGACAGCCGGTATCATTCCAATTTTGAAGGGTGTCTACACAAATCAGGTTGCAAACCAGATCTACATTGGGAAAAATCAGAAACAAACTAGAATAAAAAAAGCTTTCAGCAAGAAGAGTTTCCTCTCTAGCATACTAAACCCCGGGCCCCCCCCCCCCCCCCCCCCCCCCCCTCCCTCCCCGACCAGTGGCAACCACCACACACACACACAGAGCCAGGGGGGAAAACAACAACAATAATAATAACAAAACCCATAGCTCAGTTGGCACACCAATGTAACCTCTAGACTACAGACCTCAGTTCGAATCCAGATGGAATCAGTTGAGCAAAATATAACTCGAGTTACCTGCGGCTTACCGGCGGCCGGTCAGCTCGAAGATGCCAATAACAAAAGAGCATATCGAGAAAAAAGAGTGCCGCAGATGGATCATATCGTCATGCACCTAGTCGTGGCGTAGACAGACAGCAAATAACAAAAAAGAAAAGCCCTCTCAATCTAGTCGCCCTCTGAGCAGAAATCGGTCGATGATGACTACCTCGGTATGGCCGGCGTTCGTGCACCCAAATGCAGTGGGCTCTGGTGGTAGGGGTGGGGGGCGGGGTATTAATAGGTAGTCGTCAAAATGACCGGACTGGGCTGGACGACTATGGGTACTACTACGTCATAGGGAGGGAGATATGACAGCTGACATAGCATGGTTTAAAAATAGACGAACTGATAGGCCCGGAGTTCCGGATAACATTCGGCGGACGGACGCACATAGCAGGGATGACTTACCTGGATTCTTCGTTTTGTACTGTAGATTGTTGGTGGGGGGTGGGGTGTTAATAGGTAGTCACGGAAATGACCGGACTGGGCTGGACGACTATGGGTACAACTATGTCGTAGGGAGGGAGATATGACAGCTGACATAGCATGGTTTAAAAATAGACTTGAACTGATAGGCCCGGAGTTCCGGATAACATTAGACGGATGGACGCACATAGCAGGGATGACTTACCTGGATTCTTCGTTTGTACTGTAGATTGCAAGGATCAGCGATTACATACTCAGAATTTGGGCGGAGTGGGACGTGTTACCCTCTGGGGGAGAGATCCCTGATTCTCCTATGGTCATTCACTATGCACGCATTTGTCTGCTCGCCATGCGACAATAGGAAAAGCCTGCTCTCGTTTTCCTTCAGCAGAGTCTCGTTTTCGATGTTTGCTTTTAGTCTTTCTCCTTCTCATGCTTGCAGTCATTTAGCCCGTTTAGCCCCCCGTTTACCGCTTTTGGTGGTTCATTTTGCCATTCGACGTCTCGTCAGTAGTGTTCGAACCGTCTTACTCTGTAGTTGGGCGTAAATGAATCACAGTTTGGACGGAAACAAAACAGATTGCGCGCTGCGACTACGGACAGAAAGATGCTGCTGAGCTGGTGTGTCCATTCTTTGAGAAAACATCTCAGTCTACGGGTCTTTATGACGACGGGCCGTAGGTATCTTGGAGTGAGGGAGAAGGTGTGAACAATGTGACAGTGACAGAGGACCTGCCTGTATTGGATGACGAGGTTAATGCTCTGCTGATGCTCGGGAGCCATTGTGTGTCTCGTGTGCTCTCGAAGAGTCATCTTATCACCTATACCTCCTTCCTCCTTTGGTTTTCTTCCGTTCCATACCTCTCACATCCTGTACCGTTCCTTGGCATGAAACTTCGGTAGCAGCAGGATTGGGAGAGTGCTCAGACGCTCATTAGCTATCTCAGTTTCCAGTGATGACGATCTCTGATGTGAACTGTGTGTTGTGATTCTCGTTCCCGCCATCGCCGCTGACTTGGCATAGCCAGGGTATCCCCGCCCTCCAACCCCCCCCCCCCCCCCCCCCCCCCCCCCCCCCCCCCCCCCCCCCCCCCACCCCCCCCCCCCCCCCCCCCCCCCCCCCCACCCGCGACGGTGTTGTTTTAGCGGGCATGGTGAAGGTTCTTCGCTTCATTCGCATATACCACCCAGTTAGTAGAACATACATATCTTTTGACTGCTGTGCTTGGCCGTGCACGAATAAGAAACAAACTCACCATCTCTGTTCCCTGGTTCGTTTCTAGGAATGAGATGCTGGTTGCCGAATCAGTCAACGAACGACATTTTAACCTCAGCGGTTGGAAGCCATTCCCGCTGACCTATTTCTTTGCAAGCTAAGCTGTTGACATTCACCTTCCTGATGAACAACCAGTCACCTGTATGCCGTAATGAATAATCAGATTTTGAAACATGTGGATCCGCATGCCTGTGTGTGTGTGTGTGTGTGTGTGTGTGTGTGTGTGTGTGTGTGTGTGTGTGTGTGTGTGAGAGAGAGAGAGA